TTTGAAAAAAAGAAGAAGAAATTGTTGCCGCCATAGTTCTCACCTTCATGCATTGTCCTCCAAGAAGAGTACAAGCAACTACAGCACCATAGCACACCATGAATTGAATTGGACCCACAAAATACTTGCCCCATTTTGGCCCTATAAAACCAACAGTTTGGGTGTGAAATGCTAAGAGCTTGATGACCATAACCCCGTATACATGATCGACATCTTCTAATCTAATCCCAATTCAAAAATAATATTAAATTAAATTGACTTGGAACATTAAATTTTTTTAAATAAAATATTAATATGGTATTTTTATTTTTTAAAACAATAAATTTCAACCTAGTTATCTTGACTTTTTAGTTGATAGGATTACCATGAAATAAAAAGTTTAATTCCAACCAAGGAATAATATAAAACGGAAATGTTTAAAAGCCAGGTTGATAAGGATCAATAAAGTTTTTTAAATAAAATACTAATTTGATATTTTTTTATTTTAAAAAAATTAACAAATTTAAAATTAATTGATTTGAGTTTTTGACCCAAGTACATCGGATTGACATAAATTTAATATCAATGTTGATAACCATTATCTATCCATTTATCCGAGGTTTTTCGGATTCCTGTGGACCCACCTTTCTTGACATAAAAGAAACTGACGGAGTACTACTCTTGCATTGGACCTGAGGTTTTTGAATAACAATTGCATTTACGGCCGAAACATTGAAGTTGGAAAGTCAGTTGTTTCGCAGCGTGGTGGTTGTCAATTTTTTAAATAATTTTTTATATTAAAATATATGTTAATGATTTTTTTTATTTTTTAAAAATTATTTTAAATATTAATATATTAAAATGATTTAAAAATATTAAAATTATATTAATTAAAAATAAATATTTTTTAAAAAATATATTAATTAAAAATAAATAATTTTTAAAATTTTTTTTAATTTTTTTTAAAACACAAAAATAAACATACAATAGAAAAACTTTAACACAAGATTCCCATCACAATTATATATTTTGTAAATCTAAATGTCGTCGTCATCATTATCAAACAGATGGAATATGCAACACCATGATGACCTCTCAATTTCTTGCAAGCTCTCCCATTAATTTGGTCTCAACTAGTGCAAGCTGATGCAAGAAATCATCGCACCCTCTTTTCTTTTGGTATTTTCTTTCTTCGGAATTCAAACATGACATCCATACAAGAATTAGTGCATTTATGGGTTTTTTTTTTCATAACCTCTTTTAAAATTCAATATCCTAAACCCTCAAGTGGAAGATTGCCATGCAATATATCGTGGATATATTTATATATCAATTGGACAAAATAATTTTGAGAAAAGATTCATTATTTTAATGAAAAACATTCATTATTTTATATATAATTGTTAAATCAAGCTGAAATTTAATGAAAAATTTATATAGATCCAGATCTCTATATAGTTGACTAAAAAACATAATTGAGATTATAAAAGCTTTTAAATAGTTAGTTTTTATTTGATTTTTTTTTTCAACAGGCTAAGTTAGTCCTGACATGGAGAAAAGACATCACACCACTAATTGGATATCTTCGTCAACATTTTTGGGAGACTGTGCATGCTGTTGATTTATTAGTACTATCAGGAAACTTAAAACACATATATAAAAAAAAATGCTAGTGTTAATTATCTATTCAAAATCCAAGCAAAAAAAAAAAGGGAGGGGGAGGAGGTGTATGAGTTAATTACCCAGTATTTGGTTGGCCATGTCCCTGAACCGAAGTTGGCGATTACCCTTTTGAGCATGGTGTTCAAGAACTAAAGACAACAAGTTGTATGAATAGAAAGTGACCACAGCTCCGATCAGCAAGAATGCAACTCCGGCCGCCCACCCAAGAAATGTGAAAGCGAAGGGCAGACTAAGAAGAGGTGGTGCCACAATTGATGTTGTTAGGTGGTAGCCACAATGCAGCCATGATCCTGAAGTTGTTTGTGTACGCATTGAGAATATAAAAAAAGTCAAACCAAATATTTCATGGGTTTTTTATGCTCGATTAATTAATACTAATAGTTTATTTTAAAAAAATGAGATAAGATTCGAATCTTATTAATTGCTATAATTTTTCTAAGAAATGATCTTAAACATCAACAGGCTTATAATGCAAATCTTACTCTATTATTTTAGAGATGATGAGCTGTGGTCAATATTTGTGACAAATGAACAAAGAAAAACGATCTTGATTCTTGAGGAAAACTATTTTTTAAAATCTTTTGATATATATGAAGATCATTTCTGGAAAACTATGTGTATGATTAGTTTGCAACATACTTATAAATTAATTTCGCGTAATAAATTCATTTATTAATTTATTGGTATTTATGTGAGAGATGGTGATATTGTTAATTAAATCATTACATATATTGAGCAATGGACAAAAATCTTTGCCATAAATACGAGTCAGAACATCGAAACAATCATGCCCAGATGGCATTAAAATTCATACTACAGTGCTCTCTCAGTAGTTAGTAGAATCACTTGGCATCAGGCAAGATAAATTAGAGAGTCGTATTGAAAATCTTTATATCTAAATCTTTGTTTAATTTGTTATAGAACCAATTAATTATATTTATATACACTTTTTAAAAAACAATTGGCCGATATCGGAGATTGAATAGTATTATCTGGGGCACGTTTTCCTCTATATGTGGAAAGCAGTAGTCATGTGTTTGTGCTAAAGGAGAAGGAATAGAAGAGATTTTATTAAAAGAAACACGAAGGATATAAAAGAAGGGAGAAACCAAAAGGCAAGAAAAGAAAGAAAGACTCTGTAAACTGAGAATGGAAACTGCATACAAAAAGAAGATGGAAGGCGTAAAATATTGCATGAAGCAGCTCGTTGGTGTGTTTTACCTTTGGATTTGAGAACAAAAAGGGCACCGGCATCAAGGTCCTTTAGCTGGTGATCAGCTCCTTGCTGTGAGACCTTGCCATCCTCTCCATGAGCTGCAACAGCGCCCATCTCCCTATCTGCCCGTCTCTGAAATTGGGGTGAAGGATGGAAGAGAGAGCAAATTAAGGTCCACCGCTAAAATCACACATGTGGGCATATATAGTCAACACAAGCTCGCTTGCAACTCGAAAGAAGATGACGAAATTGACTGGTTAGCTATCGCGTATAGGGCCAGGATTGGGTTGGGAGTGTCGGGCATTTTTTATTATTATTAAGTTTTGATTAGTTTGATCAAATGCTATTGACATTCATAATTAAAAAATAAAAGTTAAAATAAAAATAAAAAAAATAAATTAAAAGATAACAACAAAGTTTTACTTTGAGAGTTAAATTAAAAAGAATAAAAATATTAACAAAAAAATCAGTAAAAAAAAAAAATCATTAGCTTGGATTGAAAAGTAAAATTAAAAATAATAAAATTTTCATAAAACGATTAAGAAAAAAAAACCCATAAAAATAAAGATGAAATTAAAAACACTAATAAATAATAATAAAAAATTAAATATGTTATATATGTGTGTGTAAGCACGGGTTAATGGTTTAGCATCCCTCTGCTATTCTTCTTCTTCTTTTTTAATCTCTTAAATACTTTATTTATATCATCCTTGTATAATATATTTCCGTTATCATCACATCCTTTTACAAGTCAGTATTACCAATATTATTTAAAATTGACATATATCATGTTCTTTCAGCATAAAATTTTGTTTATGTATATTTTGCTCTTTGGATTGTTTTTAAAAATTTTACTATAATCTTTGTATTTTATTTATTTATTGCAAAAAAAAATCATTATATTTTACAAAATACACTTTAGTCCTTTTTAATTACTCTCAATTAAATACCTAGATGTCAAATCATAATCTATGTTAGATTTTCCAAAATAAATACATGATATTATAGGAAACAAAAATTCAACAAGATCACAGTAATATCAACTACAATCATAAAGATATCGCATCCACTGATTACTTAATCTAATCAGATAAAAATTATCAAGATGTTTTGGGATTGAGTCATTACTTCAAGGAAGAATCATTTCCATAATATTATATCTCTGTTATGATTTCTTTTCTTTTCTATTTATTCTTTTCTCGATTTTTTAGGCCATACTCCAAAAATTAACTTTTTTTTTTATAGAAAGAAAATAAAGAAAAAATTATCATAATAAATATCTTTTTTCTAGAATCAAAGTAGATATAAATATAATACGAAAACAAAAGATTTATTTCTTAAATGGCTATACCTGTTTTAGATTCATTCAACCCTTACCTTATCAATCTCTTCATTTAAATTGTTTGACTAATTCTTATCAAATTTTGAATTTAACATATAAAGATTACGTAAGAAAAATCAGGGATTAAATTATATTTTTTGTAAAATATAATGTAAAAAAATTATACTTGGAACATTTTTTTAAGAAAAACTAAAATACAAAGATCAAATTAAATTTTTTAAAATTAAATTTAAAAATCAAAATGTATATCAGCGGAAATTTTATGTTGTGGAAGCATGATATATATTAATTTTTAATAGTGCCAGTGACAACAATGAAAAAAATAATGTGATTGAAAAAGAATATAGAGTTGATATATAAATAAAAAAGCAACCTTTTAAATAATAATAATAAAAAATAGAGTGACGATGGAAAGTATTAATCCATTTAGAGATTATTAGTTTTTATATTTTAAAAATATTTATTTTTTTAATTTTTTTTATATTATTTTGATATACTAATATAAAAAATATTTTTTTTAAAATAAAAAAATATTTTCATATATTTTTTTTAAATATTTTTAAAAATAATTATTAATATACTTGCAAACATTTTATATATCGCCTAGATATTCATTCAGGCCATATCATTACTTTCAGGCCCACCAAGTAGATGACAAAATCAAATTTAATTTTAAAAAATATAGGTAACTCAGCCCAGAAAAAAGGCCCACAATAAAATATGTAGCCCACTCTAATTTTGAAACAATAAGCCCAATTATGCTTACAATTAAAAAAAAAAAATGAACAAAACTGAAAACTCAAAAAACGGAAACCCCATCATCGTTTCAACTTTTATTACCAGAACGAAACCCTTGTAAAAGAAACGCAGGTTTCGACAGCACAAAAAATATAAAAGATAAACAAATTCTTGAGGTAATCATTTTCCCCCTTCGTTATTGCTGTTAAAATCGTTGCATTTTCCTGCTTGTTTGCTGATTTGATTTCTATCTTGTTCACTTTGATTTCGAAAGTATCCGACTTCTTGCCATTCATGTTTTGAAAAAAATGACAACCTAAAGAGAGCTAGAAATGAAGTTGGTTTTGATTAAAGATTAGTGACATTTAAAATCTTTTTAGTGATTGGGATTTTGCTGGGTTTTTGTTAATTTAAAATACAAATTTAATAAAGTCGAAGTTGATTGGTAAAGTTGTGATTTTTTCCAAGCTAGAATCACCAGAAAAGACTTGGAAAGCTTCAATCTTTCATCAAGCAACGAGGTTACATAAAGATATAGTGCAACCTGCCACCTTTGATCAATGTGGTTTGGAAAATTTGTTTAGGTTGGATAAGGAATGATAGTTAGCTTAATATTTGGACATCAATAACATGTTTACCTGCGTTTGTTACCAGACTACACAGTGACACTAGGAAGTTGAAGTTGAAGATGTATACAATGGCAAGTATAAAATGCACCAAATGCTGAGATAGAGCCAGAAGTAAATGTTTTCCAGTCACATGTTGAGTACTGGACAGGGAACTTAGTTTGGAAGTCTATGCATTACAATTAGTTTAGCTATAGTGTAAAGAGATCGTGTGCTAGGAAGTTGCTAGTTCTTCGTTTGATTGGAAAGTCTCTTTGGTGAAAATATCGTTCTATATTTTCCTTGGCAATGGTGTAAAGAATTAGTTCCATTTTTGCATATACATTGCATGGGTACCTTGGTTTGGCATGCTGGTTTATAGGAAGTTCAGTTCCCTTCTGTGTGATGATCTGTTGAATCATGGTTATGTTTAGTGGTGCCGTCATTCAAAAAATGACTTGACATTCCCTAATTCCGTTGCTTGTAGCTCTTTTGAATCGTAGTATTAGTTATGTTTCTTGGTGCCATGATACAATAATGTTTTTACATCCTCCAATTCAGCTTCATATAGCTCAACTGGAACTTTTGCTATTGCAGGCAGACTGTTTTAATATGTCAGAACATTAAGCAGAATAGTTGAGCTGTCAAAGATATTCAACCTGTGTTTTTCTCTACGGCATTCACTTCCTCCTCTTTTTATCCACATATCTGAATCTTTTCTTTGGTTTGAGTGGAATGACAATTTTGTTATTGTTGCCTTTTCTGATTTGAGAGAGGTTAGCCTATTGTGTTTAATGCTTAAAACGAAATTCTTTGAATGAGATGTGCAGGTAATTAAGAGAAGTTTTGGAGGGAGAAGTGGAAGAAGAAAGGCTTGGCACAAAAATTCGATACAAAATTTTTAGACTGAGCTCAGTGTAATTATAAAACTAACATTACTGAGAGGGTAAGAGAAAAAAAAATCCGCGAATAGTGTTCAGCATTGCCTGATTGTGCAAAATTACATAAGAAAAGTGTGAGTCCATTACCTGTGACCATTTTTTTTTTGTTGAATCAAAACAAATGAGAAGTACTGGGAATCAAATTTGGGAACACCGACATCAAGATAGAAATTTTTGTCTTTCTTGGATTCAAGGCATGAAAATGATGCAGCTCTTTGTTCAATAGTTGCTATATCCTGATATAACCAATTTCATTTCTGTCATATTGGTTTTATTGGTATGCGAGGGACAGTGGACGATGCCTTTACGACATACATTTTCTTTGGTATTCAGGACAAGGCTTGGAAGTATGCCATCAGAATCTGATAAGTGGGGATGGGAACATGTTAGTGTGTTTGGTGGATTTGACAGGGGAATTGGTACAAAAAGGTGGAAATGTAACCACTGTGATCTACAATATAATGGATCTTATTCACGTGTCAGGGCCCACCTTCTAGCTTCTCAGGTGTTGGGGTCAAAAGTTCTTCTATCGACAGGTCTTTGCGAGAAGCATTTCAGGTCCTAGAAGAGGAGCGTGTTGCACCGAAGAAGAAAAGGAGCTCTGTCATTGGGAAGGCTGGTAAACTTGTTCGGACTTCTCAGCCAACTCTTGCTCGGAAAACCATCACAAAAGAAGATGTAGATGACATAGTAGCTAGATTTTTTTATGCTGATGGTTTAAATATTGATATCATCAACTCTTCTTACTTTCGTGAAATGTTGAAAGCAATTGGTTCTTTTGGGCCTGGGTTTGAGCTCCCATCAATAGATAAGCTGTCTGATTCTTTTCTAAGCAAAGAGAAAGGGAGGATTGAAAAATCAGTAGCTCTAGTTAGGGAGTCCTGGCCACATACAGGATGCACAATACTGTGTGCAGGTCGATTAGAGCATGAGGTAGCCTAAACATCAGTATATTTGTCTCCAGCCCAAGGGGACTTGTATTCTTAAAAGCAGTTGATGTGGATGACACTGATGAGGGAGAGCATGTGTTTACTAGTGCTCTCACTGATACAATTATGGAAGTTGGCGCTACAAATGTTCTTCAGATAGTCTCACATCTAGGCGATGCATGCAAATCATCTGAATCCTATGTATTGTTGAAGTTCCCTAATATATTTTGGTCTCTTTGCATTTCACATTCCGTGTTCATGTTGATGGAAGAAATAGCTGAAGTGGAATGGGTGAAATCTATTGTCTTGCGTGCCAAGGCAATTGAGGAATGCATGATCACATATCAACATAATTCATCATGTTCTTTCGGTCAAAATTTGAAAGAGTTGTCTGATCCAATATCTCCCAAATTTGCACCTTCCTATTGTTCTCTCCTGAGGGTCTTTGGGCTAAGGCAATCACTCCAGGATATGGTAGTGAGGACTGGAAGCAATGGAAGCATAATATTGCAGAGGATGTAAATGTGGAATCTGCCATTTTAGATGATGGTTTCTGGAGAAAGGCTCATTCGCTGTTGCAGTTGTATGAGCCATTTGTAAGGTCGCTTGCTACCATTGATATTGGCAAATCTGTTATTGGGGCAGCTTATTTTCCCCTCTTCACGCTGCAGGTTATTTACTGAATCCTAGATATATTGGGAAGGGTCAAACAAAAGATAAATAATGCAGGGCTGGAAAGCTACTCTAGAAAGATACGAGGGTGAAAGCACAGCCAGACGTGTTCTCAGGGAGCAGCTCAGCTCATACTGGCGTCTGGAGGGATCCTTGGGAGAGGAAGATGCCGTGGATTGCAGGGATAAAATGGACCCAGTTGCATGGTGGGAAAACTTCGGTTTTGTTACACCCAGCTTGCAAACACTAGCCATAAAGGTTCTGAGCCAGGTTTCAAGTGTTGCTATGTTTGAAGAGATTTGGCAAGCTAATGACTTCTCATGTCGAGAAGCAGCAGGCAGGTTGGGAGTGCAGAAAATGGAAGATATCTTTTTCATTCGCAACAATCTCAGACTTCATGGTCGAATAAATGGGAATTTATGCTTCTCATTTGCCCAAAGAAACGCCTTTTCAAGCTCCTCTTCTGGAGTTAAGACATGGGAAGGTCTGCATCTTGATCAATCTACTGCGATGGTAGATATCCATGAAAAATTATAATAAAGCTTTCCCCGCTTCTAAATTGGGGCTGGACTCCGACCAAAGGCATGCTTTTATTAATCAGCAGGTTGCATGTCAGCTACCCGCATTCACTGGACATTGCTGTGCACTGATCAGGATGATCCTTTTGAGGTTAGTAACATGTCTTTTGTGAAATGAAAATTCTGTATTTGTACTTGAAATGGTACATGTTTATTGTTCACTGTTAGTGACCTCAAGTTTAAAAGTTCTCCATCGAAGAATTATAGTTGTGGTAATATCTAAGAGCATTTTTGAAGCATTAGATGAAGTGGATTAGCAATAATTAATAGCAGTGACATTATGCTTACTTGCCTGGCGGATCAAGATTAAACGTGTTGTCTAGAGTAAATTACCACCAACATACTTGGCCACATCATGACAACCTATGCGTATATCTTTCCAGACATTGAAATAATTCTATCACAGCAGTGTCTAAAACCTTAATCACAGTGGCCCATTATCATGATCAGAATTTCAACGTGGGGCATTCCATTGGTGATTTGATTACCCCCCTTTTATAGTATTCTAGTCCATCTCTTGCAACTAATTAATTAGGTGCTAATCCTTTTCTTTTTAATCTGATGTCGGGGTATATGACTGTTGCATTGTCGTAGAATAATATGAACAGTAATGAAATTTTGTCGGCACAAAATGTTCCTTATTAGTTGTTACTGCATGTTGTCTGGTTTATGCCTGCAGTGACCTCCATACTTGTCTCGTAATCACTGATTCATCATTCATTATCCCGCTTAAAAAATCTTGAGTTGTGGGGTATGTGATTAGAAAAATGAGCGAGAAAAACATCTTTAACTGGTATCGAACTCTGTAAGTACATCATTTACGCAGGATTCACCTCTTTTGCGAGGTTAATAAAAAAATGACTACCCTTTAATTAACTACACATATTTGTAACTTTTCTTACTTTTCTTTGAATTAATTTATTCGCCGTCATGTTGACTTCAGGAAAATCGATTTCTGCTTGGATCAAGAGTGGAGAGGAAAATAAGAAAAGGAGAGTGTAACCATTTTAGAACCCGTTTGGGAATGGAGTCAGCTGCACAGTTGGCAGCATTCCCAAACAAAGCCCTGGTGAATCCAGAAAAGAAGAAGAAGAAGAAAAGAAAATGCCTTCAGGTCTAAGCATAAAAGAAGCATGCTTTCTGCCCTATTTACTCGATGGTGAACCTCTTGGACCAGCCCTCTCCCAGGATTGATGCCCTTAGATGTACGAAAGAAGAATACGTGGAATGGAGCTGCAAGAAGAGGTCTCTGTATTAATTTGTATTTGTTGGATTCGAGAACATTAAAACATATTTGACTCTCGACCCCATTGATCCACACACAGCATAAATCACGGTACCTCAAGTGTATTGATCTTGTTCTTTATGAGCAGTGGAAAGGGATTAATAATAGGTTATTATCAATTTAGGGGGAGGATATCTACTTTACTTGGACATTACGAAAAATTAAGAGCAATATCAGCGGGAGATTGTCGATTTCCATGAACAAAAATTAAAAAAAAGATTTTTGAGAAAAGCGGGTTTGCTAAGAAACAGAGGAAGCATAAGATGTGGGGATCCAATTAAGATGTAAACAAAGGATTTATTAAGGGAAATGGCATTAATAAAGAAAATCTGAGATTCAATATCTGTGTCTACATTAGAGACAAACATGAGGCGGGAGTGCATAAAGCAGCATATCAAAACCTAACTTTGCATTACCTTCATGCCAGTAAAGTGAAAGCATTGCTGATAAAGTATCCTACTGTACTGCATGGAGGGAAATGAACCAAAAAGTAAAAGAAAAAAGAAAAAGAAACTTTGATTTCCAAAGAAGACTTCGGAATTGCAGGATTTCAGCATCCCCAAAATAATAATAATAAAAAAAAATCCATGCCGTCGGTGAACGTGATGCACCGTATCCCTTTTCCGTGGGCTCTAATGAAATAGGTCCAAGAAGGTATAAAAAATTGATGTCAACTTATGCGCTTGAATAGGTTTTACTTTGAACCATTGTTTTTAACCAAAACGATCGTGTTTTATTTAAAATTATTTTGATCTTTTTAATTAGAAAAAACTTGAAATCACGTAGTTTTGGTTTAAAAAATCAAGTTGACTTGTTGATAGGTTCACCTTATAAATCTATGATTCATATTTTAAGCCGGTTCAATATTAAATCAAGTTGTGTAATTATACTTGAGTAAAATAAATTTAAGTTTTAAAAATTTCAATTTATTTTAAAGTTCTACATTGGTTGTGCAGCTCAAAATCCAATAAATCTCCTGATAAATAAATAAATAAATAAAAAGGATATTATTATCTTAAGGGTAGGATTTTATAATGGATCTTACTAGTCCAATAAACCACGTGTATTTTTTATTTTTTTGTCTCCAAGGTTTTGAGCATAAATTGTCTTATTGAAGCAGATGAAATTGGGGAACAATCCACGGTAAATCAAGAAGAAATTACACTCAATTGTGTCTGAAAATTGCAAGAATTGCATGTGCTCATGAAGAGAGCAATAATGGTTGGAGGACTACATGTACGATGTTTCTTCCTTCGAAGCTTCCTCTACCATTCTCGTAAATGTTGCTGAAGTCAAATTTTGTAGGAGTTACACTGGAATGATTTATGATGCACGCTAAGAGCCTCGATCTAGCTTTAGATACATTTCAAATCAAGATAGTACTGTTTAATATTAGTTATTTTTTTAAGTATTTTTTATTTGAAAATATATTAAATAAATATTTTTAAGAAATATTTAATTATTTTTAATATCAATATATTAAAACTATAAAAAATATAAATTTTTTAATTATTTTAAAAGTGCAGCTAGACCAAAAAAAAAAATCCCAGAACTTGAGACAATATGTACTTCATTAATTCTGCTTGATCTAATCAAATTCCCTCTTCTTCATTTTCGAGTGTCGGTGTCAGGCTTCATAGTCTACACAACAGCTCCTTTTCTCTTTTGTAGCAAGAAACCAGGCACTCCAATCACAATAAAGCAATTTTGTTTTAATAAAGATGGGGTGGGGCAGCATTGGGGATCCCTCCATAGCTAAAAAACTTCAAGGTATTGAAAGACTAACACATAAAAAATAAATTAAACACACTATTTTGTTAATTAGATATATTATATAGTCACTAATTTAGATTACAATAAAATTCTCTTGACATTAAATTTCTTGTTTAAAAATAATATATAAAATATTAAAAAAAAAAAACAACTTGAAGAAGTTCACTAATTAAAGACCAGTGGCCAGCCACTGCCTTGTGTAGATAGGTCAGCACACAACCGTAAGATCTCTAATTAATCAATTCCGTGAAGGTTAGGTGACAATTATCAATGGAAAGGCGGTTTATATACCTTTAATTAGTTTCGAATAATTCTCGTCGTCAATTTATTATTATTAGTATACAACGATGTCTTAACAGCATCAATTACACTGTAATGGTGATTGATAGCTATAGACTGATAGTATTATTGACGTCTTACAAAACTCAAATTAGTTTCCAAACTATTAATCAATTCTCAACTCGATACTAAACAAAGACTTCTCTTAATCGTGTGTCCAAAGTTTCTCACATGTCTCGATAGAATCCCCTTGAAAGTGTCCATCTAAAGTGAGAATTCTCAAAATTTGAAGATGATTTCGACATTTTTTATTAAAAAAAATCATAAATATCTTGGATTGTAATTCTATAACTTGATCTAGATCAATTGTTAACTCATAACCTAGATCATGTAAAGTTTTTTAAAAAACAATTCACGTGATTGATTTAATTAGACTCAAAACCTATAGGAGACTTGGCCAATATTTTTGGTCAAAATATTGTTTTAATTAGTTTTTTATTTTTTAGGTCAAAATATTGTTTTAATTAGTTTTTTTAAAATGATATAAAAACAGTTTTTTGGACAAAGATTAAAAAATAATAATAATTAATTTGGATCTATCTACTAAACTGTGAATCAACCTATTTAACTTGTAGATCAAGCAGAGTTTCAAAACTATATTTTAGATGAGTGGCTGATTAGAGAATTTTGAATAAATGGGCACCTCAAGCAACAAAAACTTTTGCTTGGAACTACACTGAGACTTGGCAAAAAGTCGGGATGCTAATATGAGGTTAGGTCCGCATGCCTCACAAAAATTCTCAAAAGACTCAAACTACTCCATCTAAATAAAAAAAATCGCATTAAATTTAAATTTAATTAGAAATGTAATCAATTACATAAGCATGAAACTACCTTGATAAATTCATGTTATATACGACAAAACTGCTTTGATAAACTCTAAGAATGTTTCTCAAACTCATAACACGTCATTGTTAACTTGGTTTATGGTTCATCAGCAAGAATAAAGAGAAAATGTTTCCTGTTCACCACCGATCTCCTTCTCTTAAGCACATTGCCTCCCACTTGTCTTAACAGGAGGCAAGAAAAGGTGTGCTAGCGGTTCTCTAACACGAAATTAATCTCAAAATTAACTTTGATTACCACATCTAATTTCCCATTGAAAACGAATTAATTAGTTGTTCCATGCGCCAACCTGAATATTTTTATGTTGATTTCTTATTTATTTTTATTTTGAATTGAATCCAACCAAATAAAAAGATCTAATCAAATTATTCAACAAATTCGAGAAATTATTCGGCTCAACCATGCGAGAAATATTCTTCCAATTCTAAGAAATCAGTTAGTTAATACCCTGGATCATCTAAGCTAATTTGTTCGTCCCTACCAAAAACCCAAAACATGTACCTTAAAAAACAGGAATCCGAGGGTTGAAGGAGCAACCGACAATCCTGGTATAAAATGGAACGTAGGGGGTCGGGAGAGACGTGTCTTGATTTGTTTCAGAAAAAGAGGTATTACGTAAGAAGAAATGGAGAGAAGCTTCACAATTACTATTTATTTCTGCTTCTCAATCCTTTTAATAGCTAGGCTTTTGTGTACAAGAAACACATCTCCCATCCACATTTTCTTTTACGAGGGTCCATCAGCTTAATTAGTGGTCTGACGTGGAAATATTCACATTAAAAAAAAAGATTTAGAAAATTCCTTGTCGATGATTCTCTACGACATTTTCTATAGTGACCAAGTTTAACATTGTCTGATTCAAAATAAATAAATTACAGCCTCAAATTGTAGTTCTGTCCACTATAATGACTGCTGTAGGATTAATTAATTAGTAAATTATTTTACCAAAGCATGATGGAAAGGGATAGGACTCGTATATGTTAATTCAAGTGTTAATTTGTTCCCGTTTTACCACTCCCTGTGTATATAATAAAGTAGTAATGAAGTGGTGACCAAGTGGTAAGGACTTGGGATCAAGGAGTTTATTCTCTTTGTAGTCTCAGGTTCGAGTTCTTGGTTGCTCATATGATGGCCACTGGAGGCTTACATGGTCGTTAACTTCAGGATCTGTGGGATTAGTCGTGGTGCACGCAAGCTAGCCCGGACATCCACGTTAATCTAATAAAAAAAATAAAGTAGTATACCACTCCCTGTGTATATAATAAAGTAGTAATGAAAGAGAAAAACAAGAAGAAAAATTAATTAGTCTTACATCCTTGTGAAACATATATATATATTTTCTGGGGGTAAAGGGAGGTAGGGCATATAAGATTAAATTGAAGGGGCTAGCTGGAGGCTCCACAAGCCACACTCTCAATGTGGTAGGTCACCATATGTCCTAACTTTTGACACATTATTATTGTGATTAGCCTCACCTTCCCAAAGCAAAAGGAGAGAAATCTGGGCTACCTGCCAAAAAGATAAGGCATAGTCGGTTTGCCTCTAACATGTCACTCGTGAGGATGATCATCACTGTAACCGAAACCCTAATCCAAACTACCCTTTAATTTTCTCATGTGGCTTTGACCTGATGTATGCATGATAATCATCCATGTACCACCGCGCCTCCACCTGTGTTCATGAGTAACAAACCAAGATCTTTATTAAAAAATATCGATTAAAAAAAAAATTACAGAACAAACCAAGATCTTTATTAAAAAATATTGATTAAAAAAAATTTTG